GTTCCCTTAGCTCCCGCAGCCTCTGACGTTCCCTTGGCAGCTCAGCTTTGTGCTGCAGGAATCGCCCTCCTGGCATTGGGATCATTTCTCATCTGGTTTTTGAAGTCCTTTCCCAAGAAAAGTGAGGGGCTCATAAAGTACTCCAAAAATCATCTTCAAAATCTGTAGTTTTTCTCATTCATGACTTAGCCTTTTTTTTCAAATTTAGATAATAATTAAAATCTAGTTCTTGGATAAACACTAACAACCTACTGTGTACTTAATCAAAAGTCTTAGGAAAAAGAGTTCAAAGTGCAACTTGAAGTGGGAGGAGGCTTCAGAAATATCAGTGTTGACTGAGCTAACACTAAACGACTCTCAGAAGCACTACCTGCATTCAACCCAGTTCCTCTGGAGCTGAGCAGAGTCTGCCATAATTAGTACATTCAAGAAAATGGATAAAGTGCCTCCTAGGATGGTTCTTTGGAATACAGTTTTACATTTTGGAAATATCTCTTAAGGAATATGCAAACATGTCTGTCCACACTCAGGTTGGACCCTAAAAGATTGTGTTTGTATTTTTGATGTCCTTAAAAGTCACTTAGTGTCATATAATGATTTTCTTTCTCTTGCAGTTAAAGCATTTATTCCTTACAGGTGAGTTTCCTTCTCATACAAAGCATGCTACTGAATATTCTACTCAGCTTTCTCTCTCCTATATTGGAAAAAATTGTTTATTTAGTGTTTTCCCTCTTTCAGCAGTACCTGGTACAGTGTTCAAGCACACAGAAACCAACATAACTCTTCTGACATTACTTAAGTTCAAAACAAACAGGTAACATTAAAACTGACCCTCTCACGATAGAGACCATCTTCTCTTCAAGTCGGTTTTTCACTAACAACCACCACCATAATGAATCTTACCACTTTCTAGGAAGAATCATGAATTTCATACAATTTCCTAAAAACTTCTTTTGATTTGATTTCTTTGAGAAAGAGTGGAATGAACAGAGCTCTGGCATTCTTTAATCATCTCATTACTGAAAGATAATAATAACAATATCTCATACATCACACAGTGTGCTCAGGCAGTATTCTATGCTATGAACTCCACTAAATAAGGATTCTTACTCTATTTCCTACTACTTAGAAGAAGGAAATGAAGTGCAGAGAAGTTAAGCAATTTTCCTGGAGTCTAAAAGCCACTCAGTGGTGCATCCCATATTCAAATCCAGACCACCGGATTCTAGAATCTGTGTTCTCCAATATCTACCTTGGTTTGTCAGGATTTGTGATGGCCCAGTCCCACTGAGTACATTTTTCAATGAAGAGCATTCTTTTGTGCAATTGTAGACTTACAGGACACAGGAAACTACAGAGCTCCAGTGTATCTCTTCATTTCTTCACTTCCAATTTTCCTTGCATTAGCACTGTTCATTTCTTACAACTGATGGTCTGATAGGTACATGAAATCAACTTCTCAGGTAATCTAGGGTTCTCATTTGTGTTGTATATTCTGTAGAATTTTATTTTTATATTTATTTATTTATTTATTTATTTTGCGGAACCGGGGATTGAACTGAGGCCCTTGTGTTTGCCAGGCAAGCGCTTAATCTATTGAGCTATCTCCCCGGCCCCCGATGAATTATATCTGTTTTTAAGTAATTTTACTTATTTATTTATTTAATTTATTTATTTATTTATTTATTTATGGCGGAACCAGGGATTGAACTCAGGTCCACGCGCTTGCCAGGGAAGCGTTTATTCCACTGAGCCATCTCCCCGGCCCTGTAGAATTTTAACCGGAGTGTAATAACGTGTATTTAACATCACAGTAACATAAAGACTAGTTTCTCTGCCCTAACTGAAGAGCCTTTGGTGTTAGTGTTTAGACATCTCTATGTGTATGCAAAATTATTCTTCATCGATGAGCTGTTTTGCTGCCAGTACTACCTACAGAAGATTCTGATAGCATTCACCATTGCTTATACTTGCAGGGGCCTGGTGTATCCTGGGAACTAAACACTGAAGACAAGAGAGGCTGAGAACTATTGCGATCCTCGGCCTTTCCTGCCTATCGTACCTGGCCCTTCCACAGATGGGAGTGGGACTTCAGTGGATCGGAATTCAGTGGCAAGACCAAACTTCTGCCAGAAGGACTCAATTCTTAGCTTTGCTGTTCTTGGGATCAGAAAATGGAGTCTACTGAATATAGACCAAACAAATACATTTTTTTCTCTTCATCAATGCAGATCAATGGTAATAAAAACACAGTAAATGTCTAATTTTATAAAATGTATCTCAGAAAATATTCCATCTTTCATCAAATTTTTTACTCATTCTTTTTTGTTCTAATTTACCCTGTTTCCTTGTGGCTTTTTAAATTCATTTTAATGAGAAATAAAGATATAATAGCAATGAAACAATTTCAAAGCAAGTCAGAAAAAGAAGCAAGTCAGTAGGATGGTTGTAATAATTAATATACTGCATATTGTTGTCTTTGTAGTAGTTATTCAGAGGACAAGATGGAGACATGATTTTTTTTTCTTTTTTATTAATTTTATTGAGAAACAAATAGTATGAGACAGTTTCAAAACAGGTTAGTAGGGCAGTTTCAACAATTAATATATGCATATTGTTGTCTTTGTAGTAGTTATTCATAGTACAGAGACATGATATTTTGTCTAAACAATATTAGTACAAACTTTTATTCTCAAAAAACTAATAGAAAGAAGCTGTATATCTATGCTAACTCAGAGATGGGTGTTCCACTGCAGTTAGAGAAGTTATATTTGGAGAAGTCTTTAAAGAACCTTTTCATGCTTGAAGCCAGTCTAAGGATTGTAGGTATCTGAAATCAGCAAAAGAACTCAATGTAGTCCAACAGTCCATGGTAGTAGTGGGTTATCAGCAGAACTGGAAATTGTCAGCAGTTTTTGACTTGAGCTTTTTACAGCTCAACATATTAATATGGCATTACTTTTTATACCTCATGGTTGTACTTTTCTGCTGGATGGTTAAGACCAAGTTAAAGCAAGGCCTAATAACTAAAAATGTAACTTTTGAATCTGACATGGTCTGTCAAATCCCCTGTCAAATCCCCTCAGCATTTACCCTAAAACCATGTACAGCACCTTGTTGATCTTTTGTCAGTGTCTGCAATCTGGATGAGTCATGGCCATTGTTTGATCAATTTACTCTGTAAACACCTGAGATAATGTTTTCTCTCTAGGTGACTCTCCTCAGGAACACTATACATCATTAATCACTTTCCTCTGTGTTCTTATAATCTCCTTGATCAGAAAAGTTGAGACAGCACTGTGAATACAGGATTTCATAGCACAGGTTCTTTTATGTCCTGAGTCCTCACTGACTTTGAAGGGCTAGGGCCAAAATAGTGGCTATCTTTGTAGCCCCACATTTTCTCTAATTTTTGCTTTACATACTTTAGTTGTTAAACACATAGAAGAGAGGCTTAATGATATTATTACCCTGTAACAGAGGCAGTTGAGCTTAACATCACTATCTGTCTGAATATCAAATGTCTTAGATACAATATGGAACTCTATTTTCCAACCATCATGAATAGTCTAAACTTTAAATCCCTATAGAATGTGAAAAAACAATTACACATTTTTACACACATTTAGAAATCACACCATATACAACATTGTAGCAGGACAATCCTGTGACTTTTTTTTCTTGTCTCTTGTTTTCTTTTATTTACCTATCATTCTTGCCACTTTGTGAAGCAGTTTGGAAAGTCCTCTTTCCAGTTCTCTGAGATGTGATCACAAACACAGTGAATGTTGCCTCCCACTATGTCCTCTCCCTTCTTATTAATGCATCTGGCACTACTCACTTTTGTACTTCCACAGTGTTGATGATCATGAATGATGAATGCTTTGAATTAATGCAGGGCCTCAAGGCAGCCAAAACAGAAAAATAAACGATGCTCACAAAAAAAGGACTTTAACACTGCTTCAGAAAGTGGCAAGAATGATGGGATAAATGTGTCTAAAATGCAGAAAGTATTTGGAACATGAATCTTGGCAATGCATCTATTAATGTAATATTTTTAAAATTTAAACATTCATAATTTTGATCATATGCTCTATATGATGTCTTATGAAGTCACCATGCTCACAGGAAATAATTAAAAAAGGCCTCCTCTTTTTTTCAAAACTAAGACACAAGTCACAATTGTGTTTTTGTAATAATCAAGAAGAACTTTGTGTTGGATCCCATTACAATAGGTACTGAACACAAACAATAGCTCTTCTAACAACCATTTCCACCATATGTGGTCACTTCTCATTGATGGGCTGTTTGGTTGCAATCTCAACAAATTCCTTGGTCTCTAGATTCTCAGTCTATCACTGGGATGCACTGTGGTCCATGACACTGACATGATTCCCAGGTCACACAGTACCTAATCCTTGCCATCTTCCAACTTCCCCTCCTCCAGACCTCTCAGTGCTGCTCTTCATTTATGCTAGTGAGTGGTTGATGTCCACTTAGGGCATCAGGCTTACTTCCTCTTCAATGATCCTCATCCCTGTTGGAGCCCCTCAGTCTTGGTCTGTTTAATTTCTCTTCATCTTTCAAAGTTCTGCTCCAATATCTCATGATGTCTTACTTTAAAAATCAGCTTATCAAGGCCAAGGGATGCCCAGATATCTGAGAACACATTAGATCTCCAGCAGAAATCAGCATTTGAGTACGTCAAATGAAAAAGAATATTGCCTTCACCAGAGGGGGTAGGCCGCATCCAGTCTGTGAAGGGCTGAAATTGAACAAGAAAAGGAAGTGCCAATTCACTGGGCCTGAGCAGGGACATCCCTGTTCTCTTGCCCCTGGACATCAGGTATTCTCATTCTTGAGCCTCGGGGCTTAGACTTAATCATTATCGCTGGGTTTCCTGCTTCACCAGCTACAGGTAGAAAATCATGAGATTTCTCATCTTCACAGTCAGAAGTGTTAATTCCTATAATAAATCTACAGATACGTAAGCATGTCTTTTGGGATGTTTGTGTACACACACTTGTTATTTCTCAAGAGATCTGCTTAAAGCATGCTCCTTGAGAGCTGGTCAGATTTCTCATAGACTATTATTCGGAGTTCACTAGAGGAACAGCATGGACAGAATTCAATAAGAGGGGTGAATTCTGTAGCCTAGGAGCTTCTGACAGAGTCCCTGGTGTGAGTACAAATTCAAAGACTGAAGAAGAAGTTGGTGTCTGATGTCCATGGCTGCTGGTGATAGAAAAGCACATCTAGTCCAGAAAACGGAGCCTGCACTACCTTCCTCCCTCTCCAGGTTTTGCTTCATCTGTGCCTTTCATTTATTAGATGCTGCTGCTCACATTCAGGGTTGATATTGCTGCTCTCATGAGCTTCCCATGTGCCAATGGTCTCTGTAAATACCTTCAGAAACTCCCAGTTTGTGCTGTAATAAGATCCTGTGTGTTGGACAACAAAGGAAAGGCAAGAGGTCCTCCCTGAAAACATAAATTTGTGGAGACTTTAAGCCTTGGTGATATTCAAACTTCAGAGACAGAGCAGGGTCACCAAGTTGAAAAGGAAGACAAAAAAGAGAAAAGCAGCAGTTCCTGGATCAACTCATAGGATGGAAACTGGGAAATGAGAGAGAATGAAGACATGGAACAGATTGACTAATAAGTGATAGAGCAAGGAAACCAAGAACTACCTGGTCAAACAGTCTTGTGGGAGAGAACTGGTTGGTGGCATTGGTGAAGTGCCATGATTTAGGACCAGCTTGAGGAGTCAGAATGACTGAAGGTGCAGAAGGAACTACAGGAGAGCACAGAGACAGGTCTAGATGGTTTCCGAGGGTGGGAGCTGGCAACTTGGAAAGATCTCTTTGGCTGCCCGCTTTTCATCACTTCAACATACCTTTAAAATCCTCCCAGACCAGCCCAGTAATCAGGAGCACAGAGCTCGAAACTGAGCAACTGCAGTTCTAACCCCAGCTGTGTCTCTGTCTAGCTAGGTTACTGAGGCAGCTTTATCT